ACATGAGAGGGGGGAGGGTCAGAGGGAGAAGCAGACTCCCTGCCGAGCAGGGAGCCCGACGCGGGACTCGATGCGGGACTCGATCCCGGGACTCCAGGATCATGACCTGAGCCGAAGGCAGTCGCTTAACCAACTGAGCCACCCAGGCGCCCTAACCTTAAAGGTTCTTGACAACAGATGACTGTGTCCTGCTTGATGCCTGTGGCTCAGTGGGAGCTCCCGCATCTAATGGGGATGGTGCTAGCTCTGTGACCTCAGTCCCTACACTGTCCCTTGTTCACTCTGTTCCAGCCATATCAGCTTCTGACGTCTACTCAAACATACCAGTTTTGCTCCTGCCTCAGGACCTTTGTACTTGCTGTTCCCTTGGCCTTGAAGGGCTTCCTCCAGATAACTCACAGAGCTTATTCCTTCTGTTCCCTCAGGCTTTTGCTTAAGTATCAACCCAGAGAGACCTATGTGAATTATCCTACCTCAAGGTAACCCACCCCTCTGTGTCACTTTCTATCCACTTGTCCCTGCTCTGTTCTCTTCTCAGCATTTAAACCCCATTGGACACGATTCTTGGGGGTTATTACCTGTTTCCCCCACTAGCATGCTGTTTCTTGAGGGCAGGAGCTTTGCCTCTTGGGTTCCCGCTATTTTCTCAGTGACTGCACATGATAGATGCTCAATAAATATTTGCTGACAATGACTCTAGTGGATTCCAGCCTCCTCGCAGGGCCTCTGCCTCCAGTTGTGTTGGCCCACTTTCCCCCGGGACGCGCCCCTCTGTGGTTTAGCAACACTGACTGGTAGAGTGAGACCTAGAGCCTTGTCTCTGAATCCCCGGTCCTGTCCTATCTCTCGCATCCTGCTGGCTTCTGGGCCTCAGCTGCCCTGTCTGACGAGCGTGTGGGTGACCGTGACCCCTACCCTGTATACTCCCCAGGGGGCCACGGCAATGGGCTGGAAGGAAATCCTCACAGAGGGGCTTCTGAGCGGGAGTTAGGGTGTTTCTGAGAAGCTGAGGGAAGTAGCCCTGTGGCAGCAACAGGGGCGGGGCCCAGCCAAGGAGCACCAAGGACTGCTGGCTTTGGCCTCTGCCCGGGCTCCAAAGGACAGTCCCACAGGGTGGATGGAGGGGCTTCACCTGGCGCCCTGGAACCTTTTGTGGGTCTGAGAACATGCAGCGAACATGGTAGAGTGCTGCTCTGGAGTTTTTTACTACTTTTGTTCAAATCCATACAATTTAACAAGTATGCATTGATTGGAGACACCAAGAACCTTGTAGACATTCATGTCCCTGACTTGGCAATTCTATTCCTAGAAATGTATCCTAAAGAAATAATCAGAGATGTATGCAAAGATATACGTGCAATGATGTTATTGAATTATTCTTTATAATAGCAAACGATTTGGAAATAGCTTAGGTATCAATAGGAGATTTGCTTAAGAATCAGTGTGCCATGCAATGGGATAGCATGCAGCCATTTAAAAGTTATTTTCAAAGATCCAGGAAAATTCTTATGATGCATTTTAAATGGAAAAAAGAATTTTATATATGTGTGTGTAAATGACCTTATATCCATATAAAAAATCAGAATTATATGTGTGTATATGTATGTATATCACATATACACACAATATTTTCCTGATTTTATTGAAATGTGTATATACACCAATAATGTTTATCTCCATTCAGTGCGATGATTATGGGATATTTTCATTTTTTTAAATTTTCAAATAGTTTTTATGATGAATCTGTATTCATATTACAATTTTAAATGCTAATTTTTTTTTTTTTTTAAGTAGGCTCCACACCCCGAATGGAGCCCAACCCAGGGCTTGAACTCACAACCTTGAGATCAAGACCTGAGCTGAGATCAAGAGGCAGATGCTCAACTGACTGAGCCACCTATTTTTTATTTTTTATTTATTTTTATTTTTTATTTTTTTAAGGTTTTATTTATTTATTTGACAGAGACAGCGAGAGAGGGAACACAGCAGGGGGAGTGCGAGAGGGAGAAGCGGGCTTCCCGCAGAGCAGGGAGCCCAATGCGGGGCTCGATCCCAGGACCCTGGGATCATGACCTGAGCCGAAGGCAGACGCTTAACGACTGAGCCACCCAGGTGCCCCTGAGCCACCCATTTTTCAATGTGATCAGTGATTTTTAATAATTCACTGATTCCCTATCATGCCTTCGTTTGGGCAGATAGTGGGTGCAATGATGTTAAGAAAAACTTGGGCATACCAAGTAAATTCATTTACTTTTCAAGTCTGGAAGCTTCTTAGCTCCTGGGAGCCTTTATGTGCGTAAGGCGTTAAGTCCTCTGAAATGAGTACTGTGGCTTGGGGGCGCCTGGACCGAGGACTAGCGTTCTCTCCCTCTATGTCATTGTGGGTCCCACCTGAGAGCGGAGGTGGGACTGCACACCCTTGCGTGGAGAAACCTGGTGGTTTCATAGTTCTTCCAGGCACTGCGTTTCTGTTCCTGTTTTCTTCCCTCTGGGTTTAGTAACACCATCTGGTACGTCTTCCCAGGTTTCTTAGACTTGCTCTGCTAAAAGAAGCCAAAGCCTGGGTTTCTAGCTGTGCTTGGTCCAGAGAATTGAAAGGACAGTGGCATCCCAGGGGGGGCAACCATGGGGAGGTGGTAAAAATTAAGAAATTGACCCAAAGAAAGGGGGGGGGCAGATGACAGCTAGGGTTATTTGATCCAGCTGTCTTTCCTGCCTAGAAATTCTCCTTCCTGAACTACATCTCAGAGGCTCTGGTTTATGAAATAATAACAACAATAACTTTCAATATTTGTGTCATTTGTGTACAAATAAGTGCATGACTCTTCTAGAAAAGTTAAAAATTCAGATAAGCAAATCCAAATTAAAAACCAAAACTCTGAAATTACTTTTTATCTTACAACCAGTCAATGTTTTGGGGTATAATCTTGCAACATTTTTAATGAATCAACATATTTCCAAAGTCAGGTTATTTTATATATTTAATAGATTTTCATTTTTCTGCTTACTATGCTATAAACTTATTTCTATGTCCCGAAGTGTTCTTAGAATCAGAAATAGACTCCTTAAATTAAAGGATGCTAGGTTTGGTTTCCATCCCTGCACAAGCCCTGGGAAGGCAGGGTTATTCTGAAGGTCTTAGAGCTGAGCCCTGCACACAGAGCTCCAGGGCCTGCTGGCCCCCACGTCTGCATGTCACACGTGCTCCAAACCATCTACCTCTCCTCTCCCCACCCCACCCCACCCCACCCCCAGGCTTGGGGCTCACCTCAGAGGATGAATTACACCTCCTTGCCGGACATGAAGCCATTTGTCTTGTGCTCTGGAATCCTGAAGAGATAAAATCTGGGCAGAGCACATTTATTTATTCAATGTAGTTCTGGGTAGGTGAGCCCTACCCTTGGGGATCACCTCCAGATCGGGGTTAAGAGTTTACAGGGAGAAGGAGCAGGTCACGAGATACAGACCAGCTCCAGGGGGCACCCCATGTGGGCCCGAGGAGGCCCCATTCTCCACCTCGGGCCCACTCTAATCCCAGCTCCAACCTCCCAAATGGCCCCCTTGAGGCCCGTCAAAGATCCAGGTTCTCTTGTGTTCAGACAACCAGAGCACTCCTCCTAACCCCACCCACCCCGCTGAACTGTGTGACACAGCTCTGACTCTCCTCAGGTGTGGTGTCTCTCCAGATACGAGCACGCAGCCTCTATGCCAGGGCTCCCAACCCCTGACCCTCATCAGATCACCAGGGGAGCTTGGTAAATATTCAGAGACACAGATTCTGCAGGGCCGGAGAGGTGCCCAGGAACCTATATTCTCACAAAGACTGGTCCTCCTGACTCTTCCCACAGAGCTGTCTTCTCGTCCCTCATCTCTGCTGATGTGGGCAAACAGGGCATTTGGCCCCTGGGGCAAGCAGGCCTACGGCATGCGAAGCAATGAGAAACAGATGGCTTCAAGGCCGCTTTCTCAGGTAACCTAAGTTCAGGAGGCTTGGCAGCCAAACTGGCCTCTCCTGGCAGGGGGACTTGGCAGGGCCCACCTGAACGGCCGCACAAAGCCATCCTCACAGCCTCTCCGGCCCTGAGTCCCCAGGCGCTTGCTTCCCGGGATGCACAGGCACGCCTCTGGCCAGCCAGGCCTGCAGGGGTTTGTGGCTGGAGAATCAAAGTAGAGTCCTGGGCTCCTGTGGATGCTTCCTCTAGAAGGCGCTGGTGGCGACAGTGCCCCAGGTCTGAGGAGAAAGGGCCTCTGTGGGCCACAGGCGGGTCTGTGTAGACAGAGGCCCACACACGCCACCGCCTTCCCGGGCCCCGGGTCTCCTGTGCCAGCCCAGGGGACTCGGGAGGGTCAGACCCTTTCCCACCGCTGCCCCCCCACACACCCCGTTCCCATAGCGGAGGCAGGAAGGTAAGCCTCCCCGTTTCTGCCCCGGGGCCTCGTGGGAGCCCCGAGGCCTGTGGTAGGGGGTGTAATGACCCAGCGGTCCCTGTGGGCAGTGACCCCACAGACGCCCTGCTCAGTTCCATCCATTCCCAATTTCTGGACTTTCATAATAAAAGCAATCTGTTAAATGTACAACAAAATGCATTCTCTGTCTCAGTCTGTGGTAACTCCAACCCTTCAGTTGCTCAGACCAAAACCTTGGAGTGGTCCCTGTGTCTTTTCTCTTAGACCCATGTCCCCTCCCTCAGAGAATCCTGTCGGCTGGATTCCAACTGATTCCAGAACGCAACCACCTCTCCCCAACGGGGGCCTGACAGGACCGGGTGGTGACGGGGGTGGGACTGGTCCGGGGTCAAGCTACATGTCGCAGACACTCACATGTGTCCAGAACCCTTCTGTCCAGATTTGATTTCCTCATGACTATTCTTACCAAGAAAAGCAGTTCCTCAGTCACGTACAAAATGAGATTCCTTTTTCTGTATCTTTAGCATGGTATCACAAATCCCCCAGATTCTTCTTCAGATCGCGTGTCTTAATTTGGGCTTGCGAACTCTACCATCCTCAACAGGGGCTCCTCTTCAGCATGGGGACTTGGGGTTGGGAGCCAGGGCAAGACACTCAAAAATCTGGGGGCCCCTCTGAGATGCCGAGACCAGGGCCAGGGGAGCCCCAACCCCGCAGCACCCTGCCCTGCTTGGAATCTGCCGTGGGATGATTCTGCCACCGCAAGCGTGACGATGCACGCGAATGACAGGGAAAGCTGGGTCCCCTCCCCTGGGGGACACTTCTGCCTCGCCCTGCCAGCAGGAGAGGGTTCCTCCTCGGAGCTTGTGTCAGGAGCCGTCTTCCGGTGGGATCCCAGGCTCAGCGCTGGGTGAGACGGACAGAAACAGGCTTTTCTTGGGAACGTGGGGTGTGTGGGGTGTACGTGCGTGACGGCACACGCTCTGCTGCCTCCCCAGGCTCCCCGGGCCTGCAGGTGACAGTAACCAGGCGCCACCTCCCCCGGCCCCTCTCCTAGCCCAGCCCCACCTCCATTCAAGGTCAAGGCCTACAGTGGGCCTTAGGGGGCGGCACTCCCAGACCTGCTTCTGCTGAGCCTTGGACGGGACTCCCTGGCTACGGCTAGCAGCCCCACCTCAGGGCTTGGAGGAGCCAGGACCTCTTGTCCGAGTGAGGACTTGAGCCTCGGAAAGGAGGAGGCACCAAGCCCACGTCACCCGGCAGGTCCACGGCAGGAGCTGAATGGAAGCCAGATGGGCTGCTGCAGGGAGAAAGGGGGCAGGGCCAGGAAGGAAGGAGGAGCAGGCCGCTCGCAGGCTTGATGCTAGAGCCAGTGGCTCTCCTCACCCCCAACTCAGCCCCAACGCCTGCCCAAGCCCACTCACTTGCAGCCTGGCCTCCTCTATCTTCCTGAGCCCCCAGGGCCGGCCAGAGGCTTCTCCCCTTCTGCAGCCTTGTATCCATCTTCTGGCTCCTCCCTCTGGCTTGTGGCTTTTGCAGACTCCAGGCAAGGGAGCAAAGCTGGGGGGGAGAAGGGGGTCTGTGCCCGACTCAGCCAGACTCCCTTCCAGCCGGTCAGGCTGCCCTCCCCGTGACAGACTGCCTAGAGGCACCCGCCCTCCCCTCCGCAACCTTTCCCCACTCCCCCATGCTCTCCCCACCCCTGTGGCCCCCAGCCCTGACTCAGCCCATAAATTACCTGGGGACGGTCGCTGACTCAGCCAGGAAGCCCCGAGCCCGGCTCCTCACTCCCAGGCCTCAATTCCACAGCTGGCTCTCATTCCGGAATACTCGGTCCCCTCCCCTCAGGAAATTCCTGGAAAATATCGGGCTTCTTCGAGGGGAGATCTAACCACAGCCACAGCGGGGAAGGGGGCCATTACAGCCTCGTCCATCATCCTGCCACCCTGGCCCTCCTCCACAGCGGCTGTGACTGTGTGGGCTGAGCATGGAGCTGTCAGTCCCCATGAAGTGACAGGCACATGGCCATGGAGGGACCGCCGGGCAGGGAAGAGGGAGGAGAGGCCAGCGTGGGGTCAGGCAGTCAGGGCAGGCTGCTGGGAGGTGCGACCAGGCCTGGGCCAGGAAGGATGGTGAACACTGGTAAGTGAAGAGATGGAAAGGCTGCTCCAGGCTCAGGGACCGGCCTGAGCAAAGGTGAGGCAGGGGGCAAGAAGCCTGGTATGTACGTGGGGTCGGAGGGAGTTGGAGAATTACGGGCCTGAAGGGACACTGGTCCCTGTAACATCCCGAGACCTTCCTTGGGCTCCTGAGGGCTGCTCGGACCCGGGGGATGGGGCAGGGTCTCTGCACCTTCACGGCCCAGTCTCTGCACCTTCACGCCCGCCCTCCAGGAGCCCAAGCTGAGGCACGTGGCTGCGGCATCAGGACCCCGTGGGTCTAAGGGAAACACAGACATCCCAGGCCCTTCCTCCCTCCGCCCGGACCCCCCTTGAATACTTTCTTTGGAAAGCCCATTCGTTTATGAGGGACAGCCAAGTCCAGTCCACAGATAACACGCCTCTTTCTTTGGCTGCTTCCCCTCAGACAATAACAACTTTTTAAAGTACAAAAATTCCTGCCCAACTTCCCCCAAGGAAGGATGGCTGTGGCTTTAGGAGCGAATGCACCACGGAGAGAAACAGAGCAAGCTAGCGGCCTAAGGGGTGGGTAGTGGGGGCAGGGGCCCTGAGGCCCCGGGGCCTCAGGCTGTGGGAGGCCAGGCCAGGGGGCCTTGCGGAGGGGTCTGCTGGGTTCCTAGTATTTATTCACCTGTCCTGGGAACAGCAATTCTTCAGCGCAAGACAGGGAGTCAGGGCGGCGTGGGGCTGGAGACAGAAAGGTAGGAGAGGCTGCCAGCCGGAGCGAGGCTCAGAGGGAAAGACCAGAAACGCAGAATGACACAGAGAGGAAAGTCCTTGAGAGCAAGGCTGGGTCTCAGCTCCTCGTGGCTCCGCAGCCCTGAAGCCGGGCAAGCGGCTTTAATAATAAACGGTGTTCCCCCAGGCAGGCGGTCCTTCATCCCCAGACCGCACTAGATGCTTCCGCAGCCTCCGTGCCTGTCAAAGCCCGAAGCCGTTTTATCGACATTCTCAAGTTGCGTGTTGGACCACCTGACCCCACTCTAGACCCCCCGGAGACAGATCTGCTTTGGTCAATGTTGCCTCACAGCACCTAGTGGGGTGCCCCACCCCTTGCTGTCTGTTCAAGGTACGAAAGGAAGAGGGAAAAGCTGGGGGCGAGAGACCCGACAGACCCACCGTGGGATTTGGCCTCTGGAGAGACGCTCCAGGGCGCCTGCCCCTGCTTTGCAGCCCTGGGCAGGGGCCTGTCCTGTTCCTGGAGCCCGAGGTGGGGCCGAGCAGGCAGGGAGGCTTACCTCTGTGAGCCCCAGCCCTGGGGGGGTGGGGGGTGAGTGTGCTCTCCCTGTGCGGCCAGGCTGGTAAGGGTGACGGGCATCCTGCTTCATTGTCACTGGTTCAGCCGTGCTTCCAGAAATTCTTCCTGCCAGTAAGAAGAGGAAAGAAAAGCCTGGGCAGCCTCTTGGGCTGCCAGGAAGGGGGTGGGCAAGTGGGAACAAGGTTTCCCAGAGCTCTCACGGGCCAAGCCGGGGCTCTGGGGCCTCCTGCCTGGGCCAAAGGGCCGGCTCAGCCTTGGGACAAAAGTGGGCCCCAGCCTGAGGTGTTAGAAGAACTGACCGGTGGAACGGGGGCTCACCCATGTCCATGCCCAGCCAGGCTGTGTTTGTGGCTGCAGAACAGAGACGGGAAGAAAGAAGGCCTGGAAATTGCTGGGCTTCCCACAGGTCTTTTCTAAATGGGGGGGGGAGGGGGTCACAAAAGACTAAAGCTCATATTCAATCCAGAGTAATAATTGCCTCACCTCCTATTTCAGTGTCCAGCCCTATAGATCTTGAAGGGAGACATAGGAAAAATTATTATTAATTATTCTTCTTCTTCTTCTCCAGTATAGCATTTTCCTAGTGTGTTCTGCACAACACCAGCCTACAGGGGTAATTCTATTTTTTTCTTTTAAGATTTTATTTATTTATTTGTCAGAGAGAGAGAGAGAGAGAGCACAAACAGGGGGAGGAGCAGAGGGAGAGGGAGAAGCAGGCTCCCCACTGAGCAGGGAGCCTGATGTGGGGCTTGATCCCAGGACCCTTGGATCATGACCTGAGCCGAAGGCAGACACTTAACCGACTGAGCCACCCAGGCGTCCCTACAGGGGTAATTCTTGGATAAAACAGGTAGGTTTGCAGAACTCAGCACGTCAGCTACCTTCTGTAAGGCTCCCAGGGCACAGTGTGAGTATTAAATTCTCAAAGAAATCCTGCAGAGACTCAATTCACTTTGGTTAATCCAGTGTTTCTCAAATGTATTCAACCACAGAACCCCTTTTTCATGGGACACCATAAAGTAGGGCTCCCAGACACACATTTTGGGGAACGCTGCATTAAAGCTTTTGATGGGTGCTTTTCTAACTTTGTTCCAGCCATGGTGCCACAGGGGTGGTATGAGGGAAGGGGGGAAATGAGTCAGCTGGACTCTGGGTCTCCATCCCACCCCACCCACCCCAATTCAACCAGCAATTCCTTTATTCTGCTGGAATTGGGTCTCCAACAATATATTTTTATTTGATGAAAGGTCTCTCCTGCTAAAACTAGATTTGAGAGCCAACGCTTTATGGTTCTTCATGAATGTATGTTTTTACCTTTTTAAAAAATATTTTATTTATTTATTTGACAAAGAGAGAGAGAGCACACACAAGCAGGGGGAGAAACAGAGGGAGAGGGAGAAGCAGGCTCTCTGCTGAGGGGCTCGATGCGGGGCTCGGTCCCAGGACCCTGGGATCATGACCTGAGCCAAAGGCAGACGCTTAACGACCGAGCCACCCAGGCGCCCCTTCTTATTTACTTCTAATAACAAATCTATACCGGCCTTGCCAAAATGTCCAACCTTCAACTGGAGGCACTAATGATTCATCCCAGGAGGAAACTCATCCTGTTGAAACTAGTAAATAAGGCTCCTGTTCACACACTCCAGAACAGGTGGATTAGTCAAAATAATGGAGGAGGCAAAACTTGCCCACCAAAGGACGGCGAATGGAAGCAGTACTAATGCAGATGCAAAGTCACTGTGGTTAGGGCTGTCAGACGGCAGAAGAGAAGGGTTTGGGAAGCAAGGGGCTCAGGAAGGCTTCTCTTGGAGATCTGGAATTGCCCCGTGATATGCCCCGGAGCTTGGTGTGATTCTGCTATGTGAAAACTGATTTCTGTCTTCAGTTCTAGAGATTTCTTAGCCATTGTCTCTCTGAATATTGCTCCTCATTCTTTCCAATCTCTCTTCCTGGGATTCTACTTGGCATAGGTTGGACCTTTTCATTCTAACCGTTCTACCTCTCCCTCTTCCCCGTTTTCCACTATTTACCTCTTTGTGAGGCCTTCTGGGTGAATTCTCAGATCTCCTTCTCCAGCTCTGTTTATCCCACTGAGTTTTAAATTTCAACGATCATTTTTTATTTTGGAAGTCCTACAGACTGGCTTTTGAAACTCAAAATCCAACAAGTCTAGCCTATTCCCCGAGGCAACCAATGCTATGAGGTCAAGGCCAGGCTTCCCACGTGGAGTCCTAAAGCTGATGGTCACTGGGTCCCCTCGGGAACCCCAGGGGCCATGCAAATACTCACATTCTCCGTGTGGGCCTCAAAGCAAACTAGCTACAGGAAGTGGGCAGAGCTAAGGAGTGCAAGAAGATACTGGGGGAAAGTCTAGTTCGCAAAATATCATCCCATATATGGTCGATACTACTACTACCATAATTCCGATGATCATTATTATTCCAGCACCATCCGTGTAAACTTGGGAACGTCCTTACCCCTCCCTAAACCTTGGCTTCTCACCTGAGGCTGCACCAGATCAGCCCATTCTTACTGTGAATCTTTCCCGCATCAGTCCCTGAAACTTCCCCTTCCTGCTCTGCCTTGTCCTACACCTTTTCCTGGCCCAGTGAAAGGTCTAGTCGGGCAGAGGCCGGGCCCTGAGAACAGCCGAACAATGACAGCAGAAGCCCCCGAGCCAGGGTGTGGGAACCAGCTGAGATTCTGGGAGAGGGACCGGAAACGAGGAGGGGAAGTCCAACAGCTGGACAGGCGGCCACGTCCGCCCCCAGTCCTGCCCTGGAAGCTCTGCTTGGCCGTGAGGGGAAACCAGGCTGTTTCTCTTGGATGGTCACCTCCTGGGCTACTCATTCATTCAACAACTATTTATTGGACACCTACTAGGTGGCAGGCCTTGTGCCAGGAACAACCTTGCCCCTGGGGACCGTCCCTTCCACTCAGCAGAAACATTCCTGACTGTCATTTCAGGGCTCACACCACAGTCCTAGGTAGTAGGAAGGGCTCCGCTCCATAACCCTTCTTGACAAGAAGGAGCCATGACTTTTGCAAGGGCACAGGGCAAAGGGGTCTTCACTCCCCACTCTACCCCTGGGGCCTGGGGGAATGAAATCCTCTGGACAGTTTGCCTGAAGACAGTCAAAACAAATTGACTGGCTGCATTTTGTGACCTCCAATGCGCTGGGGGACACAACCCTTTTACTATCAACAGTTGTGCAGAAAGCTCTAGATGTCTGTCAACCTTCCCTTTGCTACCACAGGATTACCTTCTTTAAAAGGGGGAAAAGAGTGTCCCAAATCCATCGTGGAAATTGCTCGATTTCCCCAGAAAAGGCCACCAGGAACCCTTTCCCATCTTTGCTAAAGGAGAGAAAAAGTCTGAAAAGTTTGGTGAGGAATTTTTCTCGGTAACTGCAAATGGCAAGCTTTTTAAGCCCACCTTCCTGAGCTAGTGGCTGGGTCTCCCCAAGACTCCAGTCACTTTTCTCCTTGTCTGGATTTCAGAGTAGGTAAAACAGGCTCCAGCAATTCCTGATTTCCTTCAGAATAGCAAGCACCAAAAAAGACTCAAGGTTCTTGGCTCTCAGTCTTTGTCGGGCTCCACAGGGAGCTATTTTAAACTCTGATGTTACTTCACGTCATCACCAGGCCCCGCTCAAGGCCAGGGCATCACGGAGCAAGAATGCCATGTGCTTACCCACAATGCACACGTCACAGATCCCTCACCCATATATGATGTACACATCCCCTACACACATATACACCATTCTGAGGTTTACTGTATTCAGTATGCACACTGCGTAATTCCCCCCATAGCATGGACACAGAATACAAACATACATTTCTATGCCCTACAGACATCCTACTGCACACACACACAGACACACACAACACACACAGATTCATGCCACATTTATATCATGCACATGAACATACATCCAACTTGTGCGTCAATACGCACTACACACGTACACCACATTCGCAACACAAGAACACTAACATATACACGTATGTGACCAACGTATTCTATTTTCTGATTAAAGTTCTTAAGATCTTAGTTTCTATTTAAACCCAGTTATATAACCCATCAACTTCTCTTGGTCTCTTCTTTCTTGATGATATTTATGGATTTCTTTTTTCTGTTTCAGCAAAAAACAAACAAAGCAACAACAATGACGAAACGTTTCTTCGTATTAGTTATATGGAAATGCAGCCAGGTGCAAATTTATCAAAATGCCAGAAAAACAAATGGACCAAGAACTCAGATTTGGGGTTGTTTACCCTCTCTCTTCTTCCTTACAAAACTGTAGCCATGTCATTTTTCACAGACAAGTGGGAGATGCTTGGAGACGCCTGTCTTCCGCCTAGATGTTTGCCCTGGGGGAACACACACAACATTTGTCACAAATCCTGGGAGAATCACTTCTCATAGAAGGTTGGTTCTCCCCCCCACCCCTCTGCCCCCCGTTAGAACATGGCACACCGCGAGAGTGAAGATGGGAGGTAGGAAGGCGTGTGTACCACCGCCCACACCAGGAGGCCAGAGCAGACATTACTAATGGATCAAGGCCTCTCTCGCTCCCAGCCTGGACTTGGGGTCACAATCCTCCACAGAGCCTTACCAGTTCATCAGGGCTGGCAAGTAAGGTGGGAACAACGTGAGATCCCACAGAGCGCAAGCCCCTCGGTGTGTAGATGAGGACACCACGGCCCAAGGACGGGGAGTGACTCACGTGAGGTCACTCAGCACAGCTCCTAGCAAAATGAGCCCTCTGCTCAGCTCTGTGCCCCACAGATGTGGCTGGTACAGGGACAAGGGCCTCCCTCGGGGCCGAAGAAGAGGAGCCAGAAGGAGGCGAGGCCAGGCCTGGGTTTCCCTAGAGGCACCGAGCTGTTTCCTTAGTCTAAATCCCGTGCACCCTCGCTGGCGCAAGCCGAGGGGCCCGGCTCTCTCAGTGATAGCACTCCCCGGCCTTCTGTCCCTGGGCCTCTGGCCTTCGGGATCAAGGCAGGGAGTGGAGGGCCTGCCAGGGTTCATGGATGTCGTCCTCCCTTCCCCCATCCCAGTCCTCGCCTCCTTCCTGAAGTCTTCTGCCCCACTACCTCTGGCCAAGACCCTCTCCCCAGAATCACCGCAACTCACAAGCAGATGTTCATCTATGTGCTGGCACGTACTGGCCTCTCAAGGGGTCTAAGCCATAAGCGCCCCCTCCCGACGGCCACACTTCGGCCTTTGCTGTGCCTCTGCCAGACACCCTCCCCACTGCCTCCCACCCATCCTTGAACACCCATTGCAGATGTCACCCTGCCTTCCCTGAAGCCCACAGGTGCCTTACTCTTTCTCACCAAAACTGTGTTCCTGGGCTTTTCTCACAATCCCGATCCAAGAGTGGAAGGTGTCTGGGTTTTATCCCCTTAGTGCAGTGGACTTTGGACCTCTCATACCCACGGCACTCTTCTCCAGGAGAAACCCCTCCTCCCGGACAGCGCAGGCTTAGTGTGGAAACTTCCACTCGCCTGCACTCAAACTCCTTGGCAGGGCCCCAGCTCCTGGCACGTTGTGGGTGCTGAGGACATATCTGCCGAGGGGGCACAAGGGATGCATAGGTGATGGAGCCCCGGCCTCCAGGGGTCCTTGGCCAGCCCCACTCCCCTGGATGGGGGCCGAGACAAGACACAGCAGGGCTACCATGGACTGGTTCCCTGGCCTCCAGGCACTTCCTCTCGGGGCATTCCTGTCTCTCAGGGCGACAGCTGCTGCAGGCAGCACTAATGGGGGACCCTGGAGGGGAGGCTCCTCCTGGGCGGCCCTGTCACGGGGCCAGTTGGACACAGTGTCCCCCACCTGTGTTGCTGCTTCCAGCCTGGGGTGGGCATGGCGGCTGCCAGGGACATTCTTTCCCTGGGGGTGGGATACAGCTGCTGGGAGATGGGGAGGGAGAGGGAGGGCATGTGAGCTTCAGCATTTGAGTCACATCACAGCCAGACAGACAGATGCCTACACCGACCGATGTGCCATCACACAGGCACGCGGGCCCTCCCACTCAATTACAAGCCACACAGTGGCACTCCTGGTGCGGCCACGGCCACCGGGAGTTTGGGCAAATCCAACACTGGGAGAGGCTGAAATGACTGCAGACAATGAAGGAAGAAAATAGAGCAGAACCGGAAAAAACGGTGCCTTTATTGGTGGGGAAAGACTCAGGTCCTGTTGCTTCCACCCTGGCTCAACCCCGGGGACCGGAGGGACTGTCTTGGTCTTTTCTGGATCCCGGAGCCGCCTGCAGCCCAGAGCAAAGCCCGCTCAGCCTCACCGGCAGCCCCAGGAGGCATGTGGTGGGAAAAACGTGGGGTGGGGACCCAGGAAGTCTGGGTCTCCAGGTTCAGCCAGGACCAGCTGGGAGACCTTGGACCAGTCCTTTGACTTTTAAGCTTTCTGATCTGTGCACAAAAGGCAGCTCCAAGGTCCTTTCAGCTTTGAAAATATGTGAAAGGGGGTGGAGTAGGGTGAGACAGGGTAGTGGGGCCATGGGGGATGGGCGCTTAGAGAGGGGAACCCTCTGATTGTGGAGTCTGGGGATTGGGGAGCCCAGCACAGACAGCCCCTTGAGGATTTCCCAGAGAGAGGGGAGGACGGGCAGCATGGAGCCAGGGTGAGGGGGTGGGGAGGTAGTGTGGCTGCAGAGAATAAGCCTACAAGGGAGGCCAGGAGGCCAGGCCCTCCCTCCAGGGGCTAAGAGGCCCCTCCCTGTAACCAACCTCCTCTCCCCCACCTCTCAGCCCCACCTGACTGAGCTGCTTCATCCATGCTTCCAGCAGGTGGACCCCTGTCTGAGAACCGGGCTCCGAGGCTTATGACAGTGATGCAAAGAGACAGCCGGTGGACAGGGCTCAGGGGTGCACCTGGCATGCTAATGTCGGCGGTCATATGGTTGTCCTTACACCTATTAATGCACGTCTCTGTCTGTCCTCATCCAAGGCAGAGATTTTCCTAAGTTGAGGGCCATCATTTTGTCCAACCCTCTACCCTAAATACCACAGTGCTGGGGGCATGGTAGGTGGCTCAATGGACTTCCCAATGGGGACTGGCTGGAGATGCTTCCTGCCTGGGGTCCCCCATCTCACTGCTCACCACTCCCTGTTGCACTTCCCTTGGGCAAGTCAGGGGTGGTGAGCCCACTCCAGAGCCCCTCTCCTGGACCATTCCCCCCAGAGCCCTGAACCCTGCTTCAGACTCTCTGCACTTGGGTTCCAGAGACTCTCCAGGCATTCCTGGCCCTATAGGAGCCTTGACCCATAATGAAATACTTGATAGGCACTGTCCTCTCTCTCTTGGGACCCAGCCTCACCAGGATGAGGCTTGGTGACTCAGGTGAACTCATTGCAGACCCCGGACCATGTCGGGGCAGGCAGACTGGCAAGAACAGGCACCACCATTCCCACCCCAGAAGGGAAGGATGAGCTCCTGGCCTCAGGGCCTGCTCCCCGTTTCTACCCTGAGGTTCCCTATGGGGAACAATAACAAGATAAGAAGGATCTAGGAGTATTCTGTGGGTTTCTGTTTGCTGTTGCTTTGTTTTCTGAGCATTTCCTCTATCCAGGTACTTACAACCCTACTTACTTTATAAACATGATCTCCTTTTATCTTCACAGCAACTTTATGTCAGACACTGTCTCCATCACTGTTTTTTTGTTTTGTTTTTTTTTTAAGATTCTATTTATTTATTTGAGAGAGTGTGCATGAGCATAAGTAAGTGGGAGGGGCAGAGGGAGAGGGAGAAGCAGGCTAAGCAAGGAGCCCGATGCGGGGCTTGATCCCAGGACCCTGAGCCGAAGGCAGATGCTCAACTGACTGAGCCACCCAGGAGCCCCTCCATCATTGTTTTAAAGACAAACTCGCCAGGGCTCAGAAAGGTTAAACCCCATGCCTGGGGCCACACAGCAAGTGTGGGACTTGAGACTCAAACCCATGGGCGCCTGACATGAAAGTCTGTTGTGTCTCCACCACAGCAAGGGCAGTCCTACTTCAGAGGGGTCATGGTTCTTTGGCCATTTACCAACATATTTCCAGTCATTTGCCTCGTTGATTCTGCCAGCAATCTAGCATGGCAGGCGTTATCATCCCCATTTTGCAGGTGATGAATCTCTGGCTCAGAGAGGACAAGTGATTGTCCCAAGGTCACCCTTCCACTAAGTGGCAGTGTCAGGACCAGGACCCCAACCTGAGTTTAAATTCTATCCTTCCTCTTCCTGCCAAGAATCTCATCCACAGAAAAGAGAGCAAGAAACAAGTTTTCCTGCTAGAACTGCCTGGAGGATGAGGAAGAGGAGGAAGAGGAGGAGAAGGAAGGAAGGAAGAAAAGAAGGAAGGAAGGAAAGAAAGAAGGAAGGAAGGAAGGAAGGGGAGGGGAGAGAGAGGGAGGGAAGGAAATACCCCAAATTTCTTTAACAGTTTCCATTTCATATAATTTACAGATTTTCCGGCCTTATCAGGGCCCTCTGGACACAGCATGTTTCTTCAGCCCTTCAAAATACGGTGCTGAAAACTATAATATTTGGTTTCCTCATCAATGTACAATTGAGTTATTTCTTATCTCTATATAATGGTTTCTATGTACTTTGAATCCTTTTCAAAGACTATTATTCTGTATAACCCCCACATTTTATGTTAGCTTAAAATGAGATTCACTAGACTTTCTCCAAGGAAAAGTGTAGGAGGGAAGCCCCAAAGGTCCGTAGAATTTTGCAACCTGCTTTTTACACTTAATATACTTTGAATGTAATTCCAGGATGATACAGATCTGTTACTTATTTATTTTTTTTTGGTAAATACTTTGTTTTAATTTTCAATATATGTTAGATACAACAAAATGCAAAGAAACTAAGCTTGATAAAAATTTACATATGTAGACATGTATTTAACCACTACCTAGGTCAAGGTATTGAACATTTTGAGCACCCGGAATGCTTCCTCATTTCCATCCCAGTCAATACCATCCCCGCCCCCCATAGGCAAATGTTCTGATCTCTATCACCTTAGATTCATTTTGCCTGTTCTGGAATTTCATCTAAATGGAATCATATTGGGGCGCCTGGGTGGCTCAGTCGGTTGGGTGTCAGCCGTTGACTCAGGTCATGATCCCAGAGTTCCGGGATCGAGTCCCGCACCAAGCTCCCTGTTCAGCTGGGAGTCTCCTTCTCCCTCTGCTCCTCACCTTGCTTGTGCTCTCTCTCTCTCTCTCTCAAATAAATAAACAAAATCTTAAAAAAAAAAATGGAATCATACAGCATGTACTCTTTTGTATTTGGCTTCTTTCACTCCACATAATGTTTTTTTGAGCTTCACCCATGTAGTTGTAGTTCATTCTTTTTAATTGCTGTGTGTATTTCTACCTTACAAACATATCACTCTTTGTTATCCATTTTTCTGTTGACATATATTTAGAAATGCAGATTAAAACCGCAGTGAAACCCCTTTCCATATTCATTAGAAAAGCCTAAAAGAAGCAGGCTGACAGTACTAAGTGTTGGTAAAGGTTGTGGGCAGAACAAGTGGGGCTCCCAGCCACTGCTGGTGGTGGTAGAACATGTTAGAACCTTCCTTCCCTGTTCAGCAACATCAACTCAGGTTGTACATACACATATCCTTTGAGCCAGCATCCCATCCTGGGTATAAACCCAAGAGAAAGGTGTGCTTATGTCTGCCCAAAGACATGTCCCAGAACGTTCATGGCAGCCTTGCCGATCATTCCGTTGCTGTGCAAGTAGCTGCCAGGCTCTCCACTGTGTGAATGTACCATCTCCCATTGGCAGGAGTGCTTGTAAGCAAGGCTGAGAGAAGCGTCGTTAGGCACACGCCTCTTGGGAACTTTCCATTATTTCCTTGAGGGTCGCTTCCCAGCAGTAGATTGCTGGGTCGGAAGCATGTACGTCTTCAAGGTTTGAGAGCCACATCGCTAAGCTCTCCCCAGAAGAGGTGCACAAGCTTTCCCTCCCGCTGACCCCATGTGCCCGTGGCTTTGAGGCTTTCATGAGCGGTGAAGTCACTCCCTGTTCAAATGCACGCCACCACCCCCTCCTGGGAGCCCAGGGAGCCAAGCTTTCCGGACTCCTGGCAGCGAGAGGAAGGAAGGTTTGGGGTAAACACGCTGGAAGCACAATGGCAATAGTTCTCAGGGCAAGGCCACCGGGGCCACGGGGCCACCAGCCTCCTTCCGCCAGCTGAGCCCAGGCTCCTTAGAGTGGCCGTTGGGGCCAGTGTGTCTGCTGGTGCTGGTGCCCTCCCCCACAAGGCTGAGCACCGGAAATAAATGACCAGTGGCCACTGGCCCAGGAGCGCAGCTGCAGCCCTGTCCAACATGGGAGCTTCCGTGGGTGAGCGCAGCACCCAGCCCTTCCTCCTCCCCCTCAGCCCTTCAGCCGGGTGCTGGCTTCTCTCTGAACTCCTTCCAGAT